CAGATGTAAAATAAATTTATCTTAGCCTTGGATGAATGTGTTTCCTATGGTCATTACAGTGTGTAAGGGGTAAATAATTTATTGATTGGTCTTTGTGATAAATTCGGTTTCGGTTTTTCGACACCCAATTGAAAGCTGCTCTAACAGGCAATAGTTTTACTTTGCCAACTAGCCTCCAGGATCCTAACTTCATATCAAAAATATATTCAAGGTTTCTATTGAATTAAGTAAAATAGGTCTATTTTAGAAAAGTTGTTATCTGAGAAAAAACAAAAGAAACTTGACTCTAGGAAAATATTGGGGAAAGTTCAATTCGTTGGCGCGCGTTGAATTCGGTTGGTGAGAGATACATATATTAAGTGTGAAATAATTTGAGGAATACCAACGTTTGGAGCAGAAAAGCCTCAAAAGCCTCAAAAGCCTCCTCAAAAGCCAAGATATTTATCAATTCAGCTCCGAGTTCTTTATTCTTCTCTATCTATTTCTGCTCAAAAATTTTACAATTCAAGCTTTTAATGAAAATTTGCTTTCCATTAAATTTTTGAGGATTTTTCCAGCATCTTGTCCTTGAAGTTAATCTTAGAATCAATTAATTAACAGAAACCGTGTTTAAACTTCCAGTTAAATCCATCTCAGTTAGATAGCCTTTCAGGAGATTGTAATAATAATCTTTTGATAGGTATCCAAAATATTAACAATTCTAGAAATCGAACTTGGTTTCTTGTTTGTGATTTTCTTTTCTTTGTTTTCGACTGTGGTTAGTTTTGAATTGCACACATTCACTTAATTAAGGTTCAGGCGTTGAATGCAGACCAAACATAAAAGCGCGGATAGCTAATTCGTTATCAAAAGGTAATAAGTAACTGACCTGGTGAGAAAGAATCTTGCTTTTCTTCTCTTTCCTTTCATTTCTTTACTTCAATTTTTTTCGTGTTTGCTTGACGCCCCTCTAAAGAAAAATAACCTGTTAATATTCGCATGCCTATCGTTTGGTGATTGCTCTTTATTTGTGAATGCAAATCATTATTATCCTGATCAAAAGTTCAGACATGGTGAGCAGATTTTCTATAGACGTACAAATATAGATACTTTTAATCACTTATTCTTTTGGTCGAATCTTAGCTCCCATACTTTTCAGTTGTTTCTTGAAAACAGAGCCACCTCAAATCATCTGGAAAATAAGATGTCTCTGAACTGCATCTATCGTATTTCCTCGAATAAGAGCCCACATTCTAATAAGCATCCTCCCTCGGATAAGCGCCCACTCCCTTGGCCAACATATCAAAAAACCACCCCCCTTCCCACCTCGAATAAGCGCCTTCCTCTTGCCTCACTTCCTTCCTTAGATAATAGGGATACAAAGAAAACCTGTTGTTACTGACACTTAATTTGTAACTTTATAAACTTCAACTGCAGCTAAATCGGAACAGGTTAATAGTTTGTCAATAATCCCCCCTCGATTAAGCCCCTTCCTTCCGATGAAAAAGCGTCCAGAAAGATGAATGGTAGCATGCTTATGCCATTTTATATACATTAGATAGGGGATCACCGAGCAAATAAAGGCAAAAGCGAGGCTGTAGTTTTACTATGGTAACCATCTATGTCATAAAAAAATAACCTTTAAATGTTAAAAATAAATCGATTATATTTTGATACCATTTTTAAGGGAACATGATAAAAGCATGTTTCTGTCAATACATTATATAATTGGTTTAAAGTTATCAAAACCATCTTCAGCTACCTTAATACTAAAACTCCGAGCACGATGTACTGTGTATATTATTGAAATACGTTTAAAAATGAAAATAGGAACCGAATAAGTAAATTAAGCGATCAATACAACAACAATTAACGAACAATTTTCTCGCTGCTGCCTCAGGAGTTACTTGGTTCAATGAAAACTTTCATGGCACATACGAATGGGAATGAGGTTGTTTTACAGTGTATGTGCTGTACTGTCTAATATATAAGTTCTCCCTTCCACATGTTACTCTGTAATTGAATGTTCAACCACGCCGGGGATTTTTCGGCTCTAATTTGGCCAAATCGACGGGCTCAAGTAATGCGTCAGCGGCTAACTTCAAACTGGCTTTTTTCAAACGAAACATGGCGGACACTAGTGGAGTGTTTTTGAACACTGTTCGTGGTGCGCTTGTAGTTGCAGAGGCTGAACTTTCGGGCAAAGATGGTCAAAGTAATAATATAAGCGAAGCCCTAGATGATATAAGAGGGTTGCTGGCACCAGTTTCGCTTCGACACTTCAATAACCGAACCGGATTTAAGCACATCTTGGGAGATTATTTTCCAATGTTTCAAAGGCAAGCCATAGATTGGCTTAAGACATTTCAGCGACGAATGTCTCCACGATGTTCCGTCAAACACGCCTGGCAGGTGGTCGTGGAGGAAAAGCTGCACAGAGAGCTTTTTCAAATTTTGGAAAATATTGTTTCGAGGACAAATTTCGGAGTTATAGCTGACCGAACACGAAAGAACTGTGTGTTTGCTTTCACCTCTCGTGACAGAGTGAGAAAGGTATTTTCTGATTGTACCGATCAAAACCTGAGTAAAAATACCTTTTTGAAAAGAAAAATCAAAGGCAACAAGCGCGTAGAGGCAATCATAAGTTATGAAAAACAGTTTGGAATAAAATATTCTTACAGAAAAGAATTAATCACCATTGATTTTCATTATGGCTACTGGAATGAGCATGACTGGCCGCAGCATGTGTGAAATGAACAGTAACTACGATCAATCCTTGTAGTATAATACTTTTAATATCAACGATTGTAATGGTAACATTCAAGACAATAATAATTTCTGATGGCAATGCATTCAGCATGCAACGTTTTGTATATTAATGTAAATTGATTTTAGAGCAGATCATTTCTTGTAATCTCTGTATATATCGATAAGATACATATCTATATATTAATGTAAACTCTTCATAATGATATTCAATGCACTAGTGGATATTAATGAAAAATTGAAATAGTAAATTATCGTTTTTAATCTCTGAATATATCTATAACATATATATATAAATGTGGGGGTAGAGTCTGCCTTGGCATAAAGTGCTCAATGCTGTGGTAGCAGAGCTGAGTATATATAAGTGAAAGAATCAAAGAGGACGCATCGATTCTCTGTTACTCTGAGTTTCGCACCTAAGCGCTCGTCGGACAGAACTTTTTTCTGTCTGACGAGCGCTTAGGCGCGAAACTCAGAGTAACAGAGAATCGATGCGTCCTCTTTGATTCTTTCACATATATAACATATATATATATATATTTCATGTCATTTGGTTGCAGTTCAAATTGAAAGGACGCAAACTTCTTCTTACCATCAATTTCTACTGAAATCATTTTCCCCTCAATTTCAGTCATTTGCCTTTCAAGCAGAACCACATATCTGCGAACAGGCCCACAGTCTTCAGAGCAACTGGCCCCAATTAAGAGAAAGTTCTCTGCAGAGCTATACACACGCTGACCACAGTTTAGGAAACTAACTAACCAGGCCAATGCTTGGTCATCCTTTCCAAAGGGTGTACCATCCCCCGCTATGGCAACTTTAAAAGTTCCCTCTTGCGTCCCAAACCAGTTAAGCTTATCCTTCCTGTAATTGTTGGCACTGAGACAAAACTGTGCCATTTCCAACAATAAAGAATATCAACTGTTGACTTACTCTCTTGACTTCTCTGTAACCAAAATTGGCTCCAAGAGACTGGTCGTCATTTATCCCCTGTGGGCGGAGGGAAAGGAGGCTGAACGATACAGTCGGCTATAATGGCCATAGGGAAGGCTACAAACATGAAGATTGCCGCGCGAACGGCTGCAAAATCTTCGTTCATAGATCAATAATAAAACTAAGCAAGAAATTGCTTTAGGTCAAGTTTTCAAACGGGTTTGTTAAGGGTCGAAAGTCCCCGAAGCACGACCTCTATCTAGGAACTGACGAATACTATGCCAACGAAATGTTGTGCACAGCTCTTTGTCAACGTTAAGATTCTAACCATATTTTGTACGGTATCGTCGGATTGAACTACTCGTGGATCAAGCGATCTCTTACAGAACCGAACATATCAATTGACAAGGAATATGATGAATATGATATGTTTTTACTCTTTTTATTTTATTATTCAAGGCAAGCTCATAATTTTAAGAAGCAGATGTTTCTTACATCAAAATATAAGTCAGCTTCTTTCGTTTACTCCAACGTAAAGTTTCTTGCAAATTAAAGTTGAGAATTTCAAAGGTTTCAATGCGTGGAGTGCATTCGGTTGTAAGGTTACAGAAAAAGCGGGGAGGAAATCAGCCTTCGGTTAAGAAACGACAAATGTGTTGGTTTTGGTGCGAAGCTGACGTTGACTGCAGACGAGGAAGATGACAAATCCATCTACAACCATAGTGAGAATGCTGAGGAACCAGCCGAGAACTCAAAACCACGTTTCTATTGAATTTCATTTTAATGGCTGTCCTCAACTACTCTGTTTTTCTTGCGTCGGGACTACTCTGTTGTTTGTTAACGACGCCTTTCGAAGAGAAGCCTTTTATCGTTTCAAAGTTATCATGTGATTCATCAACAAGAGCTTAATACTCTTAAACATTAAAGAGAACATACAGTAAAAAACACAGCAAAATTGAGGAGGAAAATGATATTTTTTATTCTATATCATTAAATTATGCAACGTAAGGTCATTGTTATAAAAACCAGATGTTTCTAGGACTAAAATACAAGCCAGCTCAAATAATTAATTTAAGAAAAACATTTTCTCCGGCAAAGTATGGCCTCAAAATAATCAATATTTGGTCTTAAATATTAGAGACAGATGTAATATCAGCACTACTTTTTTTTTTTGGAAGCTTTTTAACTGAACAGCGATAAAGACAAAAATTAATATGTCACGGATAGATTGTGAACCAGAAGTCTTCGGGATCTAGGAAAGTTTTAAGCATATGCTTCAGCTCAGTAATGTTTTACTTGCGTTGGAACTATTCTGTTGTTTATTAACGACGCCTTTTGAAGAGAAGCCTTTTGCATTCTTGTTGTATATCTCTTTTGAAGAAAGCATAAGCTATAGGGTTTATTCCAGAGTTAATAACTTGTAGAGGTATTTTGTAATGATAATCGTTACATGATTGATTATCAGTTAAAAATAAACTACAACGCATCAATATTCCGTAACACGATAGAAACACACACGTTACCAATGCCACCCATTTTACCGCTGACGCCTTGTTTTGAGTTTTAGCTCTAGCGACCGGTTGACTAAGCCGCGATTTCTTAGCTAAAGTGCGATCTCTAGAGTATACAGCAAAAAACATGGATGCAAGAAAAAAGATTAGAATTACGCACAAGATTACCTCGAAAAGCAAATACAAATAGCCGCGTATAGTCCTGGCATGATCGATTCCACTAAGTGTAATCGACACCATAGTAAGAGTGAAAAGAAAAGGAATTCCCCAAGATGTTACAACCATTTGAATGACTCGATGGCGCGTCATAAAAGTCATGTATTTCAAAGGTTTCACAACAGCAATATAACGTTCAAGTACTAAACTGACCAAGTTTATTCCAGAGGCGTAAAAAGTGAAAATCCTTACAAATGCCACAATTAATCCCTCTTTTGAGCGTGGAGTGCATTCGGTCACAAGGCTGCAGAAAAAAAGTGAAGGAACAGCGATCATCCCAAAACCAAAATCAGCCACTGCTAAAGACACGACAAATGCGTTGGTTTTGGTGCGAAGCTGACGTTTATTGCAGACGAGGAAGATGACAAATCCATTTACAACCATCGTGAGAATGCTGAGGAACCAGCCGAGAACCCAAAACCACGTTTCCATTGAGTTTCTTCTAAAAGGCTGTCTAGGACTTTTCAATTGCTTTCTTTGGTCAAGCCAAGAGTGTTTTGAAAGGTTTAAGGATGAAAAATTTGATTGTGTTTATATAGAGTTTTTAATCAACCATCTGGCCCCATCCAACCTACGTACAAGTTAATATGGCAATATGTATGCTCTTTAATTACGTCATATTCGAGGCTGCAAACATCGATCACTTAACAACGTTCTTATCAGACGCTTCGTGCTCGGAGTTCGACGTCTGTTTATTGGTTTTCAAGAAGAATAAACCAATTGCAATCAGAAATTAAAAACAAACGCGGAACTTCTTTTGACTTCGTCTTCTAATGTGTTTTAATTCAAAGAAAATTACGGCAGTCCTTTTTTTAGACTATCAGCACAGCACGATCGTGCAAATGAGATGCGAATTAACGAAACTTAGCCAACAACAAATATTTTGAATAACAATAACTTCAAAATTATTAATCGGTCAGTGTTAAGCGTAAATCGCCCCCTTTTATTATCAAGTTAAAGACGTTTTTAACAAATTAAGAAGCCTCGAAGGACTGTTCTGCTGTAAAGCATTTCGGAAGCGGTGTTGTTTGTATTTTTACTCGCCATACGGGCTCGTCAAAATACGGCACAACTCGCAAAAATACTCAGCGATACTACACACCAAAACGTCTAATAAAATATATTTATCCACAGCTTGTTTTGTATCAGTTGCAACCAAATAACTCGTTTTCATGCTCGTTTTAAAGGTCATCATGTGCAAGACTTGTGGGTCAAGTGCGTCACTTTTCTTTAAAAAATTGTTTGCTAAACACACAAGCAGAAATTAAAAGCATTTCACAAAGACTTAAAATTTCCTAAAGGCGTTTGCCTTTGACAATCTCCCCTGACATACGACCGATGGATTACATGACTTGAATACTTGTCAAGTATTTCATTTTTAGTCGAACGGAGATCTTCCTTAACGAGCGTCTCCAAGATAAGTTTTCATGGAATAAAAAAGTGTTGGAAATGCTATACCATTGTTACCTACGCTACCGAATGTGAAAAAATTTCCAATGAAAACGGGGAAATTAAAAGTATTTATATCAATGAATCCTATATCGGTATTGACTATTTAAGGTGATGATCAATTCCCGCTAAATTAAACAGAGCTTAATTTGCTCGTATGCAAATCGACCGTCGTTAACGAAAAGTCAGGCAATTCAGCACTTTTTTCCAGCATTTATCGTTTCAAAGTGATCATGTAATTCATCAACAAGAACTTAATATTCTAAAACACTGAAGAGAACATACAGTAAAAAACACAGCAAAATTAAGAAGAAAAATGATGTTTTTTCACTCTATGTCATTAAAATATACAACGCAAGCTCATAATAATAAGAACAAGATGTTTCTAAGACTAAAATACATGCCAGCTTAAATGAGTAATTTCAGAAAAAAAATATCTCCTCCAGTAAAGTACGGCCTCAAAATAATCAATATGTGGTCTTAAATAATAGAGACGTATGTAATATCAACACTACTTCTCTTAAACAGGTGACTTATCTTTGTTTCATCAGAAGCTTTTTAACTGAACAGCAGTTTAGATAAGAATCAATATGTCACGAATAGATTCTGAACCGGAAGTCCTCGGGATCTAGGAAAGTTTTAAGTATATGCATCAGCTAATGTTGTTCTTGCGTCGGAATCACTCTGCTGTTAAATAGCGACGCTTTTTGAAGAAAAGCCTTCCGCATTCTTGCTTTATATCTCTTTTGAAGAAAGCATAAACTTTACGGTATAGGCCGGAGTTAATAACTTGTTGAGTTATTTTGCAATAAAAACCGTTACTACATTTATGAACAGCTTAAAATAATAAACCACAACGCAAGAATATTCCCGAACTCAATAGAAACACACACGTTACCAAAACCACAAAGGCTTCACAACAGCAACATAACGTTCCAGCACCAAATTAAACAAGTTTGTTCCAGAGGTGTAAAGAATGAACACCCTTATATATATCACAATTAATTCCTCTTTTGAGGGTGGAGTGCATTCGGTTGCAAGGCTGCAGAAAAACCACCCATTTTACAGCTGATTTGTTCTGAGTTTGAACTTTAACGATTCTATGATAAAATTCAATTGCCTGGCTACAGTGCGATCCCTAGAGGTTAGATTGTAAATTGAACAAGAAGCATCATGGGATGTAAGAAAAAAGATAGGCATTAGGCACGAGATTATCTCGAAAAGCAAACACAATTAGCCGACGATGGTCATGGTATGTTCGAATGAATTAATACTGGTCGACAATAAAGAAAAAGTAAAATTGAAAAGGAAAGGAATTCACGAAGACGTAAAAACCATTTGAATGCCTCGGCGGCGCTTGATCAATGTCAAGTATTTTAAAGGTTTCACCATGGCAATGTATCTATTTACAACTATCGTGAGGATGGAGAGGAACCAGCCGAAGATCCAAAATCACAATTTCATTTAATTTCTTGTTTAAGAAAATTTTAAGCAAACACGTTTTAGGCAAAAAGAATTGTTTATATAAAGGGTTTTATAAAACCTTCTCCCTCCCATCAGCTCTTAAAATTTACTTAGGACAATGGATAATGTTTATTTAAGTCGCATTCAAGGCTGCAAACATTTATCATCTTAGAATGTTCTGTCAGACGCCTTCTGCACAGAATTTGACGCCAGTCATTGGTTTCAAAAAAGAATGGACCAATCAGAAATTGAGAACTGAAGCGAAATATTTTTTTACTTCCTCCGTCTGATGTGTTTCATTTCTCAAAACTACAGATGCGAAGTAGTGAAAATTAGCCTCTATTTGGCCGAGAACAACAAATATTTCAAATGGCAATAATTTCAAGCGTGAATCGCCCCCTTTCAACATCAAAGGAGTGACGTTAACAAATATAGAAGCTTTGTTGTAAAGCAGCAGTAAGCAGCTGGAGCACAAAACAAATGTAGGGGGGAACACGAGACGTAATCAAGTTCTTTCTCTACTTTTGGCGTATAGCATGCTTACAAACCTCTCATTTGCCTTTCCTGTTACTATTTGCCGGGTCGGTGTGTATTCGTCCTTAACTTGATCCGAAATTTCACTCTCTATCTGCGTATAATAATATACATGAAAAAATTACGCGCGTCTGATTGGCTGAAAACGAGTCCATTTTTCATGTAATACGAGTGCAAAGTTGTAACACGAATGCAATTTTGTTGTCTTTACTTGTGCTTATTAACACCAAATTGTACTCGAAATCATGTTGTTACCTATACGAAAAATATACACGAAAAATTTACGCCCTTCTGATTGGCTGAAACCGAGTGCATTTGTCATGTAACACAGGTGCAAAGCTGGAACATGAATACAAATTATAAATAGCGCGCACGGTGTCAAAATTTCGTTTGCCTTGCCTTTGAGAGATGCCTTTTTCATGTATTTTATTACTAAGCAACAACATGATATCTAGTGCAATTTTTGTAAAGGGGCACTTGAAAAATTTTCAAAGACTACAAATTGCACTCGCAATTTGCTACGGGCTTGTGAAATATTTGGTCTTTGATAAAGTTACTCGATTTTAACACCAAATTTCACTCGACATCATGTCAGTACAAATTTGTGCTGCTACCTACAGGTTTCTCGGTGTCATTTTAGGCTAAAAGCTTGTTTCCATATTCGTTTTAAACGTCATGCAAGACGTGTGGGTTAGGTGCGCCACTTTTCAATGAAAATTTGTGTGGTAAAAACACGAGCAAAACCTGTCACGAAGACTTTTCACGGAAACTTTACTGTGAACTTTCCTGAAAGCGCTCGCCTTTCTTCGTAAGAGCGGTCCGGTCGATTTCGCTCGTGGAACAGATTTCGTTCATTTCTTGTGTGTTTCGAGACAGCTATGTACTTATATGAAAACCACAGTCCGCCCGATCAGATCTCTTTATTTTCCCGACGTAACTTTGAAGAATAATTTAGAAAACAAAACAAAAAAATCTGAGAAACTAAGCTCAAAAGAGATACCATCGAGACGACCTTCAGAAACACCTAGTTTCAAACAAGTGGGAAGACTAAAATAAACCCGTACCGGTTCGGCTCGATGAGTAGATAGGTTGAGGGGAGGGAGTGAGGCGAGGGAGTGAGGCGAAAATAGCGTTAGATGACAAAAGTTGAGACAAAAATCAAAGGTGCACTTCCTAAAAATATTTCTCTCTCTTTCATTCATAAAAATAACACTGCTTCAAGCCGCCAGCTGTTAATAGTCTGAGAGTAGTCTACCATATCTTTGCGAAGTTGAGATACTAGCCCTGCAAATACAGCCCTGTTTTATGTGTTTGTAAATTTCTGATCTCAAAGCACTACATAATAAATAACCAGGGCCGTAGCCAGACTTCAGAACAAGACGAGGCAAGTTTGGAGCGCTGAAGGCGCGAGCCCGCTAGGGAGTCTGGGGGAGTCTGGGGCAAGCCCCCCCCCCCCTGAGAAAATTTTGAAATCTAGAGGCTCAGAAATGCTCTTTTAACCAATCCAATTAAACGTTTCTTCAAAAAAAAAAAAAAAAAGCCAAAATCGCCTCGTCTTGCCGCATGCTAGCTACGGCCCTAATAACACAAATCATAAGAATATATTGTTTGTGACGTCGAGGTCCAGTGGTGAGGAATTCATTCTGCATTGTAGAAGTTGTTAAAGTTGATTCTTAGTAGAAAGTCGGCCAAGTGCGATTTATAACCTCTGCGAACAAGTTCACCAACAACTGGAAAAAAAAGATTCGAAAAACATAAGTGTTAATTTAAATCAAGCGGTTTTCAGGATATAGTATTCGCCTTTAGGGCGGTAACCGGTAAAATTTACCGCCTGTAGTATCTCTTATTAGTGCCTAAAATCGCTTAAAATCCTTAAAAATTGAACAGATTGCTCTATCAGTTTGACAATTTATTTTTCCTCTTCTGCTTAAAATAAGGAGAACACCTTTATTCAGAGAGAACAACACGCCGGATGCACCCTTTTT